ACTCAACATTCTCATTTTTAATCATTGGGATGGGTATCCATTCAGCTTTAGGGCCTATGTCCTTTAATTAGACACTTAAATGATGGAATTAGGATCATGGCAAGTTCTCTTGTCAGAAAGCTGCCCTTGTTAAGAACTGAACCAAGCTAAGCAGCTAATTAGAAGAAGCAGAGACTTAAGTTGAGCCTATAGCCTAATGATGCTTCTCAACATTTATTTATGATAAAAAGTCCCTTTAATTCACATATTTCCAGAAAACATTAAATAAAAATGTATTCTGTTCAGGCCATCTGTGATGCTTGTTCAGTTGCAGGGGGTTAATGAGCCAGATATTAACACTAAACTAGAAGAAATGCCTTGCATGGTACAAAAATCATTGGCCAAGGTTAGCAGAATATCAAAGGAACTGTCTTTGCTGTACTGACTTACATTCTTAGGAAAAGGTATATGGGCTGGAAGAAAAAATAGTATAGAAAAAGAAGGCTATATTCATGTGAGAATACACTAGTAGTAGAAAAGTCAGTAAAACAAAAACTAGTTTTGAAAAACTAAGTCAGAACCTCTAAAAAATACTTAACACAAAACAGCTTTAAGGTGACCCACTGACAACTAGGGATGTTAATATTCACATGACTATTATCACAGGTAAAGATGTCAAATCTCCCATCTTCTGAGAAAACAAAAAATTATGTGCAGTTCTTGCCCAGTATTCACGCATCCTGAAAGGGTTTGGGAAAGTATTCTGTGCAGAAATAGAATTTTTTTGCCTAAGAATTGTGCTTGAGAATTATGGCATTTTGAAAAAGAATTCATTTCCAGCCAACTACTTGATTGTTTCCCTATGTGTACAAGATTATTGTTTTCTACACATACAGACCCACTCATATACACACAACAGGGAATCTTCTACAACAAAAAATACTGTGCAGAAAACAGCCTGTGCAGAAAAGATAGCTGGCTTTTGCACATTTTTTTTAAATGTAAAATTTTTGTTCTGCAAAATTTCTGATTTTGCACAAAAAAACACATGGGGCTGTCTAGAAACTGTGTTGTTGCTGCACAAAACCATGTGTCTGTGCAGAATAATTTACCTAAACACTTTGGGACATATGAACAACGGCAGATACTCTATACCTATAGACTTATTGCCACTGTATTTATTATTCCTCCCGACCAGGCTTCCCAAGTGCTAGGAAACCTATTTTTTTCAACCAGGAAACCAATAACTGTGAATATGTTTTCCATTGCTACTGATGACACATTTGGGGCACTTCTGCTACATTTAATACAAGGATGAGAATTGGCTGACCTCTAGGTGTTGCTAGACTGCCCAAGTCACTCTAACCCAGGGGTAGGCAACCTTTCCCCTTTAAGGACTGAGGGACTTCAACTCCCAGACTCCCAGGAGCTATTGGCCAACATGGGACTATTGGCCAACATGGCTGAGGCTTCTGGGAGCTGAAGTCCCTCAGCCCTTAAAGGGGAAAGGTTGCCTACTCCTGCTCTAACCAGTGGGGTGAAATGCTGGGCGTTTTAGCTCAACAACATCTGGAGGGAGGGCGTCATGAATCCCACTCCTGCTTTACTGCCACTGAGTTCACATGGAATCCTAGGAATATCTTATCAAAGACTAGAATCCTGCAGCCAAACTATCTTGTCAGTTCTAATTAATCTATGAAATTCAGCCCTGCTGCGCACGCGCGCGCACACACACACACAAGGAGGTGGTGGTTCTAACTTACTTTTTAGAATTGCAAAAGTAACAACTCCTCTCAAATTCCAAATAATAATAATAATAATATTAATAATAATAATATTTCCAAGTGAAAGTTTACCCATGAAATAACAACCCCTCTGAACAGTACCATACATCAGAGCAGCCCCAGCCCTGCCCAACTTAGGGAGGTTGCAGACTTCTAGAAATAGTGCAAATTGAGTCCACTTTTAGGGTTAGGGTTAGTGCTAGGGAATCATGGGCATTGTTTTGTTTCTTCTGAGACATTGAGCCTTCTCTGTCAGAGAGCTCTGGTGCCACAATAAAATACAGTTCCCATGATTCCCTAACCCTAACCCTAACCCTAAAAGTGGACTCAATTTGCACTATTTCTGGCAGTCTGCAACCCCCCTTACTTGAAAAAGCAAAAACTCTTTTCTGGCACAATGGTCAAAATTATCCCCCACCCCAGCCTTGACCAAGCAATCATTTCCTTCAATTTTCCAGTCTGTTAACCACTCTCCCAATCATTCCTGTCTAACTGTGACCATACACATCAGAAAGCATGCATCCCTGCCCAATAAGTCTTCTTCTGCCTCAAGTCACTTGATCTACCTTTCCCTTCAAGCTTCCTGTTTTGCAGTCCAATGCCTATATAGCCTCTGGGCTCTCTTGTCCTCTATATCCCAGCCCTCAACCAGCACCTCAATCCCAGCCATACTGACCAGTTCCAGGATCCATCTTCCATGAGGAAAAGGAATGGAACAGATGTAGATCCCATGCAGATATACCAACTATCATCAAAAGCATCATTGCCACAGGCACAATACAGACTGCTAAACTCTTAGAGAATTCAGTTCCTAGAATTCCTCAGGAAGGGACATTAAACTCAGCAAGTTTACTCAAGCTTTTACACACTAGAAGGTTTACGCACCTTCATTTTTACACCTTTTCTTAGAAATAGGTCATCTCCAGTAACAGAGAATGCTGACGTGCTTTAGACCACATATGATAGTTAATCAAAAATATTTAGTACATACCAGTGGGCACAGAGACCTTGTAAAACACAGCAATTAAAAATATGGTCTAATCACAATTTAGGGCAGGGATGGGAAAATGTAGAGAAAGCACATCCCATTTACACATGCACACACAAGCACACAGGTCATGCAACCACTCCCTGCATGACCAAAAGTGACATCACTTTCACTTCCATGATTTGGTTGAAGTACAGCCAGGCTTCATGGGGTTGGGGGTTATGGGAGGCAAAAGGATCCAAACTGCCACATTTGTGGTGACAGTTTTCGCATGTGTGTGTTGGCTGAAATTTTCCTTGTAATTTTTAGGAGAGAGACCTCTGGGGCTTGGTGTGGAGTCTCTGGTGGAATACAGTGTGACACAAACAAGAATGTGCACCTCTCATTCCCCCCGAGAACAAGGCCAGGAGACAGAAGAGAAGAAAACTTGTTAACCTGAGGTTCACCGTAGCTTACTCTTATCCCTCCCACTGACCCCAGCCTGATTTGCCAATGGTCCACAATGATGGCAACTATCATCTAAAACATCTGGAAAGCAGTGGATCAAGGAAGGCTGCTTTCACACAATAGCTGAATGTGCACAATATTAAACTATCATTATTTCTTATCTGGATACTTAGATACTGTATGTAAAATAGTACCTTTCTCCAAAGATATAGCCGTGTTAGTCTGAAGAATCAGTATGCAGAGAGATTTTGTAGCACCTTTGAGACTAAGGGGGGTTGCAAACTGCCAAAAATAGTGCAAATTGAGTCCACTTTTAGGGTTAGGGTTAGGGTTAGTGCTAGGGAATCATGAGAATTGTTGTTGTTTTTTCTGAGACATTGAGCCTTCTCTGTCAGAGAGCTCTGGTGCCACAACAAAATACAGTTCCCATGATTCCCTAACTCTAACCCTAAAAGTGGACTCAATTTGCACTATTTCTGGCAGTCTGCAACCCCCCTAACTTAAAGTGCATCTGAGGAAGCAGACTTAAGTCTACGAAAGCTCATGCTGCCAACTTCTTTCTTTCAATTAGTCTGAAAGGTGCTACAAGATCAACCTACAGTACCTTCCTCTGTTATTGCATGTAGGCTGGACTTGGGACTTTATCACTTGTGGCTTTTAAGCTACCATAAAAGTTCAATAATAGCACCTTTGGTGATGCCTGCATGATGCTGTCAATGCCTTTTCCTCCAATTATGGTCAGCCTGCACCTTGCCACTGGTGGGGATAACCTGTCAATAACCTCTAAATCATGCTGGTATAACACTTCTCCTCTCCACTCTCCCCTTGCTATTTCAGTCTGGTGTCTTCTCCTCTCCACTCTCCCCTTGCTATTTCAGAACAGCGTTTTTTGTTTGTTTTACATTATTATTATTATTATTATTATTATTATTATTATTATTATTATTATTATTATTTCTTCTTCTTTTGTTAAACCACATTAACACAACACCAGACTTACATTCAAAAAGCAAACACACTCACGCAAATGAAAGACGCATAGGACAGAGAGGCAGGGTTAAGGACAAGGGCAGAAGAGAGTCCATGGGACGAGGAACAGTTTGGTTGTGCAAATGGAGGGATGTGCTTCCAATCCAATATGTATGCGCTTCCCTTCATTAATATGATTGTGGCAAGAACAGGGTTTGTGTGATAAAGTTCCTGATTTGTAACACTGGGATAACTCTGAACTATTTGTTCTTTGATACTTTCTGAAATGGATGGTTCTTAAGATCATTTCTCTTTTCACTGCTTTCCTCACCTCTGTCTTTAATTCCTGTTTATGTTATGTTCTTAAGCCAATTACAGACTTATGCAGGATCAAGAATTTATGCTAAAATACCAATTAATTTTCCACTTATACTGTTAATAGATCTTTCTGTTAAAAAGAAAGAAGAGGCATAGGGTGCTCTACGAACAATGTATCAACAATACTACTGGTATTATACATAGCAAATCTCTGCATAAAATATAAAAATGCTGTAATAGCAGCTCAAGTAAAATTATGCCACTGGTTGAAAGAGTCAGAGATAAGTCCAATGGTTGAGCAGATGTCAATGATGCTATGAAAGGTGCAGTCTTGCCCGAATGTACAATAAGGTTAAACAGGAAGCAAAGAAAATAAAAATGGCAGTTATATCACAAGGGGGAATCTAGAGAAGTAGCAGGACAGGCAGCAAAAGATAATTGGGACATTGCTTTGCACATATCTCCAGTATAGAAAATGTTACTGATATGTCTACCTTTGAAGTGCTTTTATGGATGGATGGATGGATGTAGTGGTTTGACTGTTGGACTGCAACTCTGGAGACCAGGGTTCGATTCCCAGGTCAGCCATAAAACCAACTGGGTGACCTTGAGCAAATCACATGCTCTCAACCTCAGGGGAAGGCAATGGCAAACCTCCTCTGAACAAATATTGCTAAGAAAACCCCATGATAGTCAGGAACTACTGAAGGCACACAACAACAACAACAACAAAAGACATAACAAGGGCCTAAATTCAACTGCCAGTCCCAACTACAGTAGACTAAAAACTGGATTTAGGCCAATAGCCACAGCAAACGGAAGGGACATCAGATAAAATGTTAAAACTGGCAAAATTACTATGGTATCACATGCCATCCACCTGAAAATTCTTAGAAGAATACAGATATAAAACTCAAGTACTGATTCCTTGCTCCAGTACTGATCTCCTTGCTTTTCTACAGCTTTATGTAATGCTTTATAATCACTACATTATTCCTGTTGCTTTTGTGTACCTTCAAGCCATTTCCAACTTATGGCAACCATAAGCTGAACCTGTCATGGGGTGTTGGTGGTAGTGGCTTGTTTTTTGCAAGATTGGTTCAGAGGGGCATTGCCATTGAGGTCAAGCAAGTGTGACTTGCCCACTGGGTTTCCATGACCGAGCAGTAATCTGAAACCTGGTCTCCCAAAATCCTAGTCCAACATTCAAACCATACAGCATGCTGGCTTTCAAAAATTACATTAATTATAGATAAGAGATTAGTTATAAGCACCAGTTTTGAATACTACAGGGCAAAATCTATACAAGTTATTAAGTTGTCTACTCTCTCTTATGTTCTTCATATGTGACCCCTTAAAAATGTTGATCAACTTTTCACCAAATGTTACTCAAACATTAATCTGAAATTAATAAACAATATTTATTATAAATAACAAATAAATAATAACATTAACAGGATTTAAGAAGTCCCACCCATTCTGTATTGAAAAAGAACCTCTTCTCCATGGAATTTATTAGTATTTGATCTGAACTTTTAAAAAATGTTCTTCCAAGGTATACAAATCCTAATAAGGTCATTTGTGGCTTAAATTTCAAATCATGATATGAAAACATGCCTTGGTTAACCACTCTAAATTACAAGCTACCTACCAGATTAAATGCATCATCACTAAGGAATCTGAAGTTTGGATGTAGCCAAACCAATAATTCTTCCATTCCAACACTACTAGTTCAAGATTTACTCAAAGAAATCTTGCAGCACCTTTGAGACTAACTCAAAGAAAGCAATTGTAGCATAGGCTTTTGTAGACTTTAGAGGCTATACAGACAGCCCCTAAGGGGCAGCATCCCGCCGGCCCTTTCCTTGCTGGATTGGGACCGCAACAACCACATGCTCTATGAATCTATGATTTCAGAAAAAGCCACCACAGGGATCCTCTTTCCTCTTCATATCCTGCAACCAAAATATTACTTCTAAGTTCATATGACTGCATTTTGATACATCATGTGTAGTGGGAATTGGGTTTTGTCTGACACTATCACAACTTAGGGGGGAAGCAGACGGCACAAAGGGCCATTTTGGGGGCAAGGAAGGGGAGGGGCAGCCGCACGGTGGGCACCCCAACCCCTTCCCGAAGGCATCATCGGAGTGCCAGCCCCTCAGCACGGCTGGCACTCCAACAATGTCTTCCCGCCGCAGCGTTTGCACACGCTGCGGCGGCAGAGTCACCGAAGGTGCGCCGCCAGCCTTTTGCAGCGCACCTTCGGCAACTTGTGGAAGGAGTGCTATTTTAGCTCTCCTTCCAGGGGTGGCGAAGCTGCGCCGCGGGGCCGAGGTGTGGGGATACCTCGGCCCCGCAGCGCAGCTTCCCAGGGCGGCTCAGGGCCGCCCGTCTGCTTCCCCCCTAAGTCAGCACTGAGAAAGGCTGATGATATAAAAAGTGAATTGATATCAAAAATCTAATTTCAAATGCCAACATTACTACAGAGTGAATTTTTTTCAGAAAGGAGGGAGTGTTTGGTTTCAGACTATATTACCTACACTTCAGTCCTATTCAAATCAGTGGGACATGCCCCATTACCTGAACATTCAGATCTACAGAGAGAAACAGCCTGCATGTCCCACTAAGGAGAACAATAAACTGTAAGGAAATTTGGGAGAGATGCTTCTTCGCTGCCCCCCCCCCACCGCCATTTCTGCTATGTCAATCCCTTGGAGAGCCAAACGGCAGCAAAATTTCAGCAACATATTAAAATCTATCTATCCAAGCCAAGCTTTGGGATTGTGAATTAGTTAAGGATTGTGAATTAGTTTTGGTCTATTCAGTTCTGGGTGTCTATTTGCTTGTGCGATTGTGCTCTTTTAAAAAAATCTATATTTATTATACCCCTGGAGAGCCAGCTTGATGTAGTGTTTTGAACATTAGACTACGATTCTGGAGAACAAGGTTCAAAGCTCTGCTCAGCCATGGAAACCCACTGTGTGACCTTTGGCAAGTCACACTCTCTCATCCTCAGAGGAAGGCAAACCCCATCTGAACAAGTTTTGCCAAGAAAACCCTGTGATAGATTTGGTTTAGGGTCACCATAAATCAGAAACCACTTGAAGGCACAACAAATATAAATATTTTAATAGATAAATCATTTAGGCTGATGAGTTGCATGACTTAGCCTGGAACCAGCCTCTAATTAGCAAATGCCAATTGAACAAATGATGTTCCCCTATTGTACATTCCTCTGACCCAAAGACAGACTATGTTATGCTATACATCTTTTGTGTGTGTGTGTCTTTTTGTGTTAATAAAGTACTAGATTATGCATACAAATCTGCATTCAGTATTGCAAATTACAAGCATTCCAAGAAGCAATCTACCAAAATAAATTTTACATTTCCTCTGGATTTTTATTTTTTATGAACTCTGTAATGCAGTGGTTCTCAACTAGTGGCACAAGTATTGCCAATGGCAGCCATGGCGAACCTTTCAGAGACTGAGTGCCAAAATGCATTCAGTGATGGCTTTTTCTTTTACCAGCCTTCAATTTTCTTATGATTTCCATTTTTGTGACCAATCATAAAGATCTATGTTTTTTAAAACATGATGGGAGTTGTTCATAAGGCAGATTTATTTACTCTCCTCCTTTCTCTCTGCTGCTCACACAAGCTCCAGTAAGGGATCATGAAGGCAGCTGCTGTTTAACTTGCCCGGTTGGAGGTAGGCACACATGGCTATTGTAGGATCAGCTAGAGTAGACTCTGGCTCTTTCCCAATCCAAGCTTGGTTATATAAAACAGAGTGAGAAAATAAAACATTCAGCAATATTATAAGAGCTTACAAGAAAAAAAAATCCAGTAGTGAGAAAGGTTGGTGATTAAAAATATATTTTGAGTTAACTGCAAACTCACTGCCTAAACCTGACACTGTGTTTCTCCAGCCCTCATTCACTATCTTCCCAATACAAATACTGCTAATACATTTCCAGTTACACAGAAGATGAGGAAGAAATGGGAAGCGGAGATTGACAGGTGAAGAACTTTGTAAAACAGAGCTTAGTTGTCAGGGGCTTCATTAACAGGAGTATGTCTGTAAAGTTAAAAAGCACACATAAGATTTACTTGTACAATGGAATGCTGTTTTAGTGCTCAACAATGGCCACCACCATAATCGTATTTACTATGGGGCTAAAGTAAGAGCTACCTAATACCAATATTAAACAATGTAACCATGCAGGAAGAACATGTGGCCTTTCAGGTATTGTGGGACTAGATTTCCCATCAGTCATAACTAGCAGCAAAGGATAAAATGGGCTGTAGTTCACCAACATCTAGGGCTGCATCCACACTGCAGAAATGGTCCTATCTGACACCACTTTAACTGCCATGGCTCAATGCAACGGAATTCTGGGAATTATAGTTTTGTCAGATATTTATACTTCTTTGTCAGAGAGGTGCCACAACAAACTACAATTCCCAGAATTCCATAATATTGAGCCATGGCAGTTAAACTGGTGTCAAACTGAATCATTTCTGCAGTAAGGATGCAGCCTAGCAAGTATGCATCAGAGAGCCCAGATGATGAGAAGCATAGCCCAAGTATCCTCTGTTCAGAAGGCCACAAAAAGGCCAAACTTGTTCAGGTGCTGACTACTGTACTTGGGGTGTAAAAATTTGCTCATCTTATTTATAAATCTATGTATTTAAGGAGGAATTGGAATTGTGCTGTATATGGAATTGTGCTGTAAAAGAGGTATCCCAGCACTCGATATGTTTCATTACATAATAACATCAAAAATGGTAAATAAAAAGTGAGGACAATGCTTCTCTAATCACACACATGGGCAATTTTTATTCTTTGCAATGCAATCCCTGAAGAATAATAAAAGAAGCGCCACAAGGGATTGAACAGTACTTTTTCAGTGATGTAAGAAATAGCCACAGTGCTCACACACACTTGTTCTGGTCTTATTTGGCCAGGCCTTGAAAAATTCATGAGCAACAAGCAGCCCTATTTACATGTTACTCTCATGATTCATAGAGAAAGGCTCAATGAGGGCCATGCATTTAGTTTTGTGGTGGTGGTGTGCCTTTAAGTCCTTTCTGACTTAAGGCAAACCTATCATGGGGTTTTCTTGGCATGATTTGTTCGGAGATTTTCCCATAGCTTTCCCTTGAGGCTGAGAGCATGTGACTTGTGCAAGGTCATCCAGTGAGTTTCATGGCTGTGTTGGGAATCAAGCCCTTGGCAAATATGCCAAGCAGAGGATTGTTTATTTTAGGTGTCATAATCGAGCCCTGGTCTCCAGAGTCCCAGTCCAACACTCAAACCACTATGTAGCATTTCTAAAACTACAGCAAATTCCAGAAGGTCCTCCTATATTTCTCTTAGCATATTTAGCATATAACCCAAGAACTGCAGCAGAAGGTTTCTAAAGCAGGCTGAGGTAAAACTAACCTAATGAATCATAAAATGGGAACTCAATAGGTCAATCCATATGCACTGTTTCCCTTCAATTCCCATTAAATCAACTGGGCATTGTAGAGAATTCATTCTTGGTAGAGTGCACACAACAAAAATAAAAATACAAACAA